TCTAATCCTGGACTTTAAATACTGAAGCATGGAACCTAAATAATGGGCCTTATATTCATTAATCAATAAATGTTTATTGAGCACCTATTAAATGTCAGATTCTATATAATGTTCTGAGGATACAGTGCTGAGTAAACTGTCCCTGCTCTCATAAAGCCTAGATTCTCAGAGGATGAGCATGGAATTATGCTACTTTGTTCAAAGATTAGAAGTGAAGTGGGGAACCCTCCATGTATTTTTATTTTATAAAGATTTTTTAAAAAAATCACCAATCTGAAGAGTTAGATAAATATTTGTTATTTTTATCCCTGTTCACTTACTTGTTGAGGTAATGAGAGTTTGAAGACTATAGAAAGAATAAACTAGGGGAATGGCAAGATAAAAAATCCTTTGTGGAAGAAAAGTAATATTTGATTTAAAGAATCTGGAAACATTTTTTTCCCCTGCATTAGGATGTCCTCCAAAAAGAAAAAAAAAAAAAAAAAAGGAATGGAACATATTTGATTCTATTGTATATATTTACAAAGTCACTGAAGGGATTTACTGGGCATTTATTTGTGCATAGATTCTACAAAGAAAAAAATATATCTAAATAAATCTGAATAATATTAATTGGCCAGTTATGATATCAAACTGATAAGCATCTTAAGTCATTGGAATTTATTATAAGGTCCCAACTTCTGCATAAAGTTTTAGAATTCCTTTGAGTCTGAGTACAATTGGTAATACTTGATTTGTTTTGGAGATAATACATTGAAATAAAATGCAATTATAATTTTGCAAAAAATACTGGCCCAGTTGACCTTTGCAAATATTTTTTAAAGATAATGCATAGCCGTTAATTCTTCTCTGTATGATTGAAATATAGAAGAAAGCATAGTTAGGGTTACCCTATATCCTAGAATTGCTGGAATGTCCTGGTTTATACCTGTTGTAGATCAACTAATGCTTGTTAATTATTTCAGTATGCTTTTCACTCAAGTTCCAGTTTGGATAGAGATATATCCTTACTTTATTAATAGATTCAAGGGCTTAATTTTACCTAGACAACTAAATTAAAAAAAAAACACACAATCTTTTTCTCCCCCACAAAAATTTAAACCGAACTTAAAACATTTTGAAAAAGTGACCAAACCCACAAAATCTACATATAACTTTTCAGAGTTGGATCCTGACTCAAGTAGTTAATTGATTCCTAGGACAGTACGAAGATTTCACCTTTGATTCTTTAAGCCCTAATATTCTGTTTCAATTTGCTATGCTTTATAAAGCTTTGAAGGACCATCTTAGAATTTCTAAATGTGGATTTAGGAATGGTACTACTATTAATAGCAATCAACATTTTAATCAATGTATAGAACAAGCCAGACACTGTTCTAAGAACTTTTTATGCATTATTTCATTAATTCTTCAAAGCAGCACAGTAATACTATTATCCCTATTTTACAGTTGAGGAGAATAAAGCTTTGAGTGATTTGTGTCCTTTCTATCTTCTACTTCACTGAAGAATTAAATAAATAGATACATTCTAAATCAGCAAGGTAAAATACGTATATCTCAGCTTTTTACCAATGAATATAATATTAGCATTTTCTTCCTAACTCTCATTAAACGTTTAGTAACTGCTGAGATATTATATTGTTATATTGGAAAGATTGCTAGCAGAAGATGTACTTTATTATTCCTTGAGATATTCCAAATTTTACGCTCGCATCAAGCCATACCATTGGGCATTTTGATAATATTGCTTTGGAGCATTAAAAATGTGCTTTTTCTGAGCTAGGTTCTGGGTTATTCCCTGAGTTTGCTTTTAAGGGGATTATGAGAAGGTGCTACATTTTGTTGTTGAACAATGTTGTTGTTCATTTGTTTGTTTGTTTGTTTGTTTTTAAGACTACTCTTTGCTCTTTCTCATAAAATGTCCACTAGAGGAGAAGCCATGTTTCTTCTGAATTATTGGTATGGCTTTTATTTTGTGGGCATTGTGAATTTTGTTTCTGATTTTGTTGCTTGCTTTCTTTGGTTCACAGAAAATCAGAACCAAGTTTATGATTCCCTTTTTGTATTAGACAAAATTTTCAATGCACATTTCTTGGGCTAACTTTAACTCTGGTTTCCTTTTCTTTCTCTATCTTTACTAGCAAGAATGTGGATCTAGAGTCAGATCACTTGGGTTCAAATCCCAGTCTCAACTGCTCCTCAGTTTTAGAGATAGGAGCAAGTTCATTAGCTTCTCTTAGCCCCATTTCTCACCTGTGAGAAATGAAGATAACAATAGGTTGACCTACTGAGGTTGTTATGAGAAATAAATGAGATAATGCATGTGGAATGCTATCTTACACATAATATAGTGTGTGTATGTCTGTGTGTGTATATTGTTATGCCATTACATTGCTCAAATATTTGTGGATCTTTTCAAATCCTTTTTATATTGAAGTTTAAAATAAATAAATACTAAAATGTCTCTCTATATGTAGCATGAAACATAAAGTTATAAATACTCTTACCAAATTGAAGTAATTCCCAAAGTACATGTGAAACTGAATCTATAGCCACAAAATACAATATAGTTTATTATATGTTTATTTTGTTAATTTTCGTAAAATATATACAGAATTTAGGCAAAAAACAGAGAACCTGTGTAGATGAATAGCTTTGAATGATATGTAATCAATACTCTGCAAACTTAAGAGAAACTGATTAAATAAATGTAAACTTCTGATTCTGCGAGGATAGAAAAGGAATCTATTAAATGGGCAATGTGAATCTTATAAAAAGGAAAACATATATAAAATAAATATGAAATTTTACAGATACTTGGCCTTTTCAAGGAAATGAAAATATTTTCTGTTTCATTGTGTGGGAGGAAGCATTTGAGTTTCAACCACAAAAGCAAGCATGTCCAGGCAATAGAACATATGCAGTCATGGTTGGCCAGGCCCCATTTCTGCAACATGTTTGTGAAAGATGGGTTAATTAGGTTAAAACTCCGGCTTATGAAAAAAAAAAAAACGTTGAGGGTAATTAGTTCTTGTGGGGACATTTCATTTAACATTTCATTTTATTTCTTCAAAGTTTGACCAAGCTATACAGTAAGAAAACATTTTCAGTTGAAGCCTGGAACTAGTGTTAAATTACAGGGGATAACATTTGTTTTCATTTTCACTTTCTCTGAGCCTTATTATTAAGACCATTTGCATTATGCTTACAGAGTGTTAATGTTTATTTTGGCCTATATGATTTTCATTTGGCTCTCCATAAATACCAGAATTTTAGTGGTCAGCCTCACTATTCTGGATACCATCCAGGTCCTGCTTTGGACTATAGGACATGTCAATAGGAAGGTTTGATGGAAGACATTTTAAGTGAAAGATCCTACAAAGTGAGGTCTTCAATTTACTGAAATATAGAAAGAGAAGACCAAGTTGTGTAATAAGTGCTTGAAGGTCAGTTATTGCAGGGTACAGGAGCAGCAGGGAGTGAATTATTAGCAGGATTAGAGGGGTAGGATGTATCTAGCATTATATCAGAAGGTAGAGTAGAGGGAGAAGGGAACTGGAAAAAAAAAGGTATTTATTGCTTCATACAAATGAGAGACAAACTGGGGACTAGTCTTGAAATAGGACCAAAGCATCTTCCTAGCAATCCGAGGTCCAAAGAAAGTAATCACCCTCTGTTTAAGGGTTAATAGCTAGGCTCAGTTAATTCATTCACTAGTTGCATTCCCTAAGATGAAATGAATTAACATCATCAACATGGCTCTTGTGTATAATTCTGATACTCCTGATTTTATTCCTGTAGAATCAAATCCAAAATTAAGATGCTAAGAATTCAACGGATTTACATGGACTTCTAGGTAGTGTTAAGGAAGGAAAAAGAAGATGGCCCAAGAATACATGTGATTTCAATGCTTGGATTTTTTTTTTTTTTTTTTTTTGGCCGTGCAGCTTGTGGGATCTTAGTTCCCTAACTAGGGATCGGACCCCAGCCCACGGTATTGAAAGTGGTCCTAACCACTGGACCACCAGGGAATCACCTCAATGCTTGAATTTAAAAGTGGTATTATAATGTCATTTTTCTTCTTCCCTTGAAATACTTTTCCCAGTTATAATAATAAAGGCAAACATTTAATGAGACCCTATTATGCACCAAGTACTTTAATATCTCATTTAATTTAATCCACAGAAAAATACTGTGATTTACTTTCTCAAATTAACAGATGAGAAAAGTGAGGGTCAGATATTTATAACTTTTCAGGTTCTGCAACTAATAAGATTTTTCATAGCTACATTTTTGGAATTAAAGACATGAAATATATTGTAATATAAATCCTATAACTTGGTCAAATGTTTACTTGAAATTGAATGAGTCCATCAAACCAATACATGCTTGCCTTGGGGAGCTGTTTCACTCAAGAGTCCTTCTTAATTCAAATAGTTTCAGATAATGTAATTAAGATTTTTGCATTGAGTAGTCATCTTAAAACTGTCAGTAATATCTGAATATTTGTGGTGAATGGAGAACTAATCTGTTTTCACACATGATGACTGTCTGACTTAAAAGATCTTATATCATGGTCCATATTTGCATACTTAGCCATTTATAAATAGGAATGCATGTCTGTATTCTTTACTGTTGAATTTAGAAGAAACAATGAAAAGAATTGTCTATACTTTGAAAGATTAAATTTTATCGGAGCCTGGAAGTGCGCGTGCGCGTGCGCGTTTGGATCTGCGCGTGCGCAAGGCGGCGGCTGTCTTTGCTGCGCGGTGCGGTGCGGATCTGAGGTAAGTTTTTCGCTTCTTGGTGTGTCCCGCCTCTGTGCGGTCAAGCAGGAGGGGAAGACACCACAGAAGAGGCTTGAGGTCAGAGGACGCTGGCCTCGTGCGCTGACCTGGCCGCCCCGGCCTCCGGCCGGCGCTCCCGGGGGGCGGCCCTTCCCGCGAGAGCCCGGGCCCGCTCGGCCAGCGGAGGTCCGGGCCGCAGCTCTGGGAGGAGGCGGGTCGTCCAGGCCTTGTCTCCATCCGCGATGCGCCCGATTTCAAAAGGCTCCAGAGCAACCTTTGAGTTCTTTCTCCACAAGGAAAAGGAATAGCATCTCCGTCGTTCTCGTCACGGTGACTCCGGCTCCAATGACCCCCTGTCCCCGGGTCCTGGTGAGCGCTCTCGGTGGCTTTGTTCCTGCCGTGGGTGTCGGTTATCGGAAGTTTGAGAGATGGCTAATGAATGATGCTTGATGACAGATGAAAAATGCCTCCTGCATAAAGATTGATGGTATGAGGCAAGACTCCTACTTAATCAAGAGGAATTGAGATTAATTTATCCATTAAATTCAGAAACTGTCTTGAAGAGACTTTGGGAATAAGACATGTTAAGGCAGATTTCATTAACAGATTCACAGGATGCCAGCCATTGACCTTTTCCCTTGTGATTGGGAGATTTGTCTTAATGCCGGATGGTCAGCACCTCAGTGGAATATTTTGGATGGGAAAAAATCCAGTGTGGTGGAAATGGTCTGCATGCTCCAGGCCAGGAGCCTGGCCAGGAGGGAGACACAAGAGGAAGAATGGCTGCAGGATTGCTGACAGCCTGGTCACAGGACTCGGTGACCTTCGAGGAAGTTGCAGTGGACTTTTCACAGGAGGAGTGGGCACTGCTGGACCCTGCTCAGAAAATCCTGTACAGAGATGTGATGCTGGAGAACTTTAGGAACCTGGCCTCAGTGGGGTATCATCTCTGCAAACACAGTCTGATCACTGAGGTGGAGCAGGAAGAGCTGAGGCCAGAGCAGAGAGGAATTCTCCAAGGTGCTTATAGAGACCGGGATACTCAACTTAAATCAAAAGACGCAATTCTTACACAGAATGTTCCTGGGGAAAAAACTTCTAATGGCATAAAAACAGCAGCAACTCACCCTGGTGAGAAACCAATGGAATTTAATCATTGTGGAAAATTCTTCAGAAAGAACTGTCACCTTATTTGTCCAAGATATTGCAAGAGAGAAATGCTACAAATACAAAGAATATGGGCAAGACTCTGGCCATCCCTCAACTCTTAGGAGTCATGTGTTCTAAGGACCCTTTCGCCTTCCTGAGGAAAAGATAGAGGCAGAAAGGAAAATGGCTGAGTGTTTGAGAAGTTGTTCTCGGGACTCAGTGACCTCCGCTGATGTAGCTGTGGACTTCACCCAGGAAGAATGGACTTTACTGGACCCCATTCAGAGAAACCTATACAGAGATGTGATGCTGGAGAACTACAAGAACCTGACCACGCAGGGTATCAATCATTGAAACCCACTCTGATCTCTTGGTTGGAACAAGAAGATGATTTGAGGACAGTGGAAAGAAGAGGAGTCCTCCAAGGCTCAGCAATTCAGCAGGATGATCTTGGGGGAGAAACATCTGTTGGGATGGAAACAGTAACATTGCTTTGGTTCCCCAGAAGCAGATGCCGATCCAAGGATTCACGTGCAAGCACTTTATTGGAAGGAGCAAGGACCATGGTATGTGTGTTGGAGAGAGGAGAAGTGATACAGGGAAGAAAACACATCCAGTAAAGTTTACCTTAAGTCAGCCCCTGCAAGAGTGAGCAGAGTTTCCATCCTGTAGGGAAATTCTGGAAAATGGCACAAAATCCAAACTTGAGAATTATTCCAGCTGAGGGGTGAAGAAGATGGTACATCCCACACCTGTCCATCAAGAAGTGTCCCTGGTGGGGCATAATTCTATGTCACGTCTACCATCATGCATTGGGAAAAGTAGGTTCCACCTGGTGGTGACAGTGGGAGTCAGGCTGGTATGCAGTGGGGATGTGAAGGGATCCCAGGGAATGTAGGAGAAATGCTGACCACTTCTACCATGCCATCTTTCACTGCAGACTCAGTTCTATCAATATTCTTCTTAAAAAGTGGACTAAGTTCTGAATACATTTCAGAAGTGTGTAACTATCATTCCTGCTGGCACCTCCAGAGACATCCCTTCCCCCAAAATAAACCACATTAGAAAACAAAAAAAACAACAAAAAATTAAATTTTATCTTCGGAAAAGCTTTAACACTTTAAAGATGGACTATTAGAAATTGTCAAGCGGTAAATAGGAGGAAAAATGAACTGGTTAGAAGATAATTATGGTACATCTATGCCTTGAGAATTTTTATGTTTGTGGAATACTACATAAGATAACAGAGAGAGTGAGACGGAAATATATATATATATATATATATATATATCTATATCTATCTATCTCTCTCTCTCTATATATATATATATATATCAGGCCATGAGTGATGACTTACTGATTTTAATTATCCTTTATTTTCTTCATATTTAGGAAATGTCAGTGTGGCCTTCTGCAATCTTTCCCATATGGCTTATTAAACATATATTTGAAGAATCAAAAAAAGTTATTTGAAGGGAGATTAAACATTGGTAGTGACTGCTGCCTTTCTATAAAAATCTTAATAAGATATTTTTTATTTTTTTATAAATATTTATTTATTTATTTATTTTTGGCTGCGTTGGGTCTTTGTTGCTGTGTGCAGGCTTTTTCTAGTTGCGGCAAGCGGGAGCTACTCTTTGTTGTGGTTGGCGGGCTTCTCATTGCGGTGGCTTCTCTTGTTGTGGAGCACGGGCTCTAGGCACACAGGCTTCAGTAGTTGTGGCATGTGGGCTCGGTAGTTGTGGCTTGCGGGCTCTAGAGCACAGGCTCAGTAGTTGTGGCGCAGGGGCCTAGTTGCTCCGCAACATGTGGGATCTTCTCGGACCAGGGCTCGAACACGTGTTCCCTGCATTGGCAGGCGGATTCCCAACCACTGCGCCACCAGGGAAGCCCTAAGATTATATTTTAAAGGAGGATTTTTTTTTTTCTTTTAGTTTAAGATTTGGGTCCAGTGGTCTTGTGTACCACAAGTTATAGAGTAATACAAAACCTACTTTTGCAAACAGTCTGTGGCTTAATAAAATTAAAATTGTTTTCTCAACAGATCCTTATGAAGTACTTACAAATAAATTGCAAGAGATTATTTCATACTAACATTTGACATAGTTTACTTTTCTGGCCTACAGTTTGGTGATATCACTGACCTTTTATCTTGAATTCTTTGATGGATTTGAGCACATAACATGCAAAAGATTTAGCTTACCAGGAAAACTAGACCTGGTAAAATTCAGTAGTCAGGAGTTGTCTCTGGGAACAGGGAGAATTATTATACCCAGGAAGAATAAGTATTTTCATAAGGATCAAAGTTGTCAACCAAAGGGATAAAATTCTGGTAATGAAATTTCAGATAACTGGCTCACTAGTGAGAGAATTTTTGTGGGGGAGGAGGCCTGGCCTCTTTCCTGGAGCCATGAAATCCCATCAAGAAAAGATTATCAAGCTCTTCCTGTTTGGTTTAGAACATTCAGAGATATTTTCTTAGCTCTTCAGTTGGTAGAGATAATACCTTAATTCTAATCCATGTGATGCTATGTAAAGTACAAATGAGGGCTGTCATTTTTACTTTTTAGAAATTATAGATCAGTTTGTAAGACCTACCTTACAAACCTGTAAAGAGGGACAGATCATAGTATTTGTCAGAAAATCTATTTTCAATTGAGTAAATGCTTATTATATATCATTTCTTAGAGTCTCTGAGTTGCCTACTCATATCTTGGTGACCCTCAGATTAGGACTGCTTTATATTTGGTAGAGTAGCTACTAGTGTAATTCACGAAGAATTCAAAGGTAATATAATTAACTCTGGATTATTAAAGCTTATGAAGAAGGGAATTATCATGAGGAAGTGATTCTCCCGAGACAAATCTTTATTTTCATATCCACTTTTTTTCTTGGCAACAGATTTTTTCTTATTACAGTGCCTATTAAATGATAAAATTACTCTTTTTGAAATCTGAAACATGTTCAAATCTTTCTTGCTCTTTTAAATGACTAAGGTCAGCCTTGACTTTGCTTCAAAAATCAGATGTAGATATCAGCTAAGATCAGTCATACATCATGGGATAATGATCAATTATCAATTTCTATTGGATAAAAGTTCAGAAGTATTCATTTAGGCTATTTGCCACTTCTTTCCAGGCTTTTTCAGAGACCACTGTTCAATCTTAACTATCACATTAGAAAATAGTTAGCTCCAATATTTGGAAGGATGTAAAGTAAAGCCATCTAAGATAATAGAGATGAAATTATTGACACTTCAGTGCTATTGGGCTATTCTTACTTAATCAAATTCTGAGTTATTCAGTGTCTGACTTTTTGGTTTGTGAATTAACCAATTTTGTCAATTTTCTTCTATCCCTTGTTATTGCTTGTGGGTACATTTTACTGATTATCCATTTCTCTAATAATTTTTTAGCCATTGTGGTCAATGAAGCAGTGAGAGTTACCTGTTGATTTTTATATTAGATAACATGGAGTTTAGAAAGGCGGCTTTTCAAGGCAATAAATGAATAAGTATCGAATTGAAGGGGAATTAATATGTATACTTGCAGTTGATAGTAAAAACAAAATGAATTTGCTTATACAATTAATTATTGACTTCAGGTGGTTTTGTAAAAAAAGGTAGAGCAGTATAGTACTGAATATTTATTTTGTGAAAGCATGTGAGACATTTTTCAGAATGAAAGTGCAAAAATTGGATGTTCATGTAAAGTTGGCATCAGGGCATGCCAAAGTCATGTCCAAGCAAAAAATTCTAAAGGAGCAGAAATACCTTGAAAAAGCATAAGAAGCTGGTCTACAGAGACTAGCTGGAAAATGGATCAGAGCCACAGAATCATGATTTTCCAGGTGTAATGGTGGCCAAGCTGTACATTTAACAATTTTCTCTGATGTCTACAAAATTTTGTATTTTACCCTTAATGAGTCCCATTTTCACTTGAGCTGGTTTGAGTGAATTTCATTCAAATGACCCCTAACAGAGAAATTGGGCATCCATGTTTAAAATCAAACACATCTTCCTTTCCACTTGAGCTCCCATTGCCATCATTCTTATAGTCACTCAGGTCACAAACATTGGCATGGTCTTTAACTCATTTCTCTCTTATTGCCAGTAGCCAATGATGAAGGTGTGTGATATACTTACTGGTTACTAGCACTGCAACCTAAGCAATGGTTTTTTTCATGTTTTCTTAATTCATATCCTTCATTTACCTCCAAATTTTTAACTTATGTACAGATATCTCAAATTCATTTCTGCCTCTGTGCCTTAGTGACTATCTCCTTCCCTGTACTTCGTGCTTTCTTTTTATTTAGATTTTCCCTTTATTTTGAAGCCACTTCATGATTTTTACTTTTAATTCATCTTTTCTTTGAATTTTTGGAACTTGTCTGGAATCTCATAATTAACAACTTTAAGATGAGATCTTCTTAGGACTAAAGACAGAATTATTAGTTCAATTCAGTTAAGCAAGCTTTATTGAGCACCAGCTGTTTGCCATGCACTGTGCTAGCTGCTGAGATATGGGGTACAATGAATTACTCATCTATTCAGCAAATATTATAGAATTTAAAAAATATGCCAAGTCCTATTTTTTTTTTTTTTTTTTTTGTGGTACGCGGGCCTCTCACTGCTGTGGCCTCACCCCTTGCAGAGCACAGGCTCCGGACGCCCAGGCTCAGCGGCCATGGCTCACGGGCCCAGCTGCTCCGCGGCATGTGGGATCTTCCCGGGCTGGGGCACGAACCCGTGTCCCCCGCACCGGCAGGCGGACTCTCAACCACTGCGCCACCAGGGAAGCCCGCCAAGTCCTATTTTAAGAGCTAGTCTCTGCTTTCATGGAGCTTATATTCCAGTGGAGATAAGTAATTACACTGATGTTGCTTCATGCATGCTAATATACCTCCCCAAGTTACTTCTAAATCCCTTAAAGGAAAGACACTGATTGGTCTTGTTTATTTCCTGAATGCCTCCTCATTCTTCTCAGGCATCCTTATTTATGGAAACTCCTTAGACTAAAATCTCAGCCCTACTTTCTCTCTTACCATGTTCTTCAGCTGCAAAATCAGATATATCCACAACTTTCATTATTTGCACAGTGCCCTTGTTTCTAATAGTTGTATATTCTGATATCTGAAA